ATTAGGTGTGTCCGGCTCACCGGTCTGTACTAATATCTGAGCTCCGCAGATACGGAGCGCAATAATACTATACTATAGCTTCACCTAAGCCCGAGGTAGTTAAGGCTGTGAGCTATGGTGATCTCCATAGTTGGTACGCATAGTTATTCTAGCACTGTAGAGCTACAGATTATATGAGATGTCTTCGAGTCAGTCACTGCATTTAAAGGCATTCTGACACTTTAATATGGCTTTGTCTCAATCTTCTGCGATTATCCTTTCCCATTTCGCCCGGCACCGGCAGTGTATCGTACAAGGGGCTCCTGATCCGCGAGATCCACACTATACGAACGATATATTCGGACACGAGGAGTCGAATCCCGACGCGAGCTACAAAATCACACAATCTTTGTTGTGTGTGTTACACCACGACCGATGATTCCACATGTTGATGCCAAATTATTGAGTAAATTCGAACAAGCGAACCCAAGAGGAGAGACAACGCATCTGGAGTAAATTCAAGCCCTTCTGTTACCTGTGATGCGCCCGAGAATATTTTCCGCGCTGTGGTTAGACGCATAGATACATAACAGGGAGAATGTGCATTCCACAAAAAATGTCAAAGTGGCATGAAATAAAAAGGGGGTTACAACAGCTGATGATTCAGACGCGGGGAGTCGAACTCGGGACAGCGAGGTAGTAGTGAAACAAAGGCTTGCAAAAGCTCGATGTGTTCCATCACGCCCGATGTATGCATACTTATATTCATGCCAAATTATTGAGTAAAATCTTTTTGAAGAGGCGAATAAATTGAACACTTGGTCTTACCTGTTGTTTAGGCCGAGGTTATTTCTGCCTCGTTGTCTACACAGCCCGAGATCGGTGGTCATTCACCGAAAGAATCTCGGGGGAAAAAATAAAAAAAGAGTCACGACCCGACCAAACATTCGGACGCGGGGATATGAACCCCGGACAACGAGCTAGAACATAGATTTCGATCCAATGGCAGCGAGAGCTCGCGTGTACCGTACACCACATCCAAATACTTGCTCAGCGCATGTGTTCGTTGGGTGTGGAATTAAATTTTGCTGGCATCGATCTTGGGTGGGGAGAGAGCGTGTCTTGGCCGACGGCGGATTTGCATGAGACTGAGTGCTGTAGGACACGCCAATTAATCGCAACAAAAAAGCCATAAAGCCGTCTCAGGTCGATCTTGCGAGACACCTGGAAGGGTAGTGCGCCAGTCGGTGTGGCAATAAAGACGCAATGGGGATGTTTCGGCGCGCAAGGATATATTTCGTTATATTGCAATTGGGGGTTAGAGTCAGTGCATGTGGCTATTGTGGAGCATCCGTTGTGAAGGACGCGCTAGATCTGCCGAGGGATTTGGGGTGCTTGGTGGCGGGAGCGGTGCGCTCGCGCGAGCCTGAGGGCTCAGTGAGGAGGTCCGAGGTCCGATGGATTCGATATCGATGTCTTGTGCTTCGTATGCGGCGTGGACCAAGGGTGTACGCGTGCGGCCAGTGCGTCGATAAATCGATAGAATGCTTGCCTTCCTGCAGCGCGCGGACAAGAGGCAAGATTGGGTCAAGATCAGATCGGCAGGATAGCTTTTTCGATGATCCCGCTCAGGTGGCAGTGCACCGCAGTCCTCTTTTGTCCACGACCTATCGTTTTCTTCTGCTTCAGTCCCAATCTTTGAGCTTGCCCGACCATCTGCTGCACTGAGCCTCCCTGGAACCCAGTAGTGTCGCCGCCCCTCCATGCACCACGAACACGATCCATCGTCGCAAGAACTTGAATCATCCCAGACGATGCCGGAGTGGGAGTGAGGGAGAGGAAGAAAGTCGCCAAGCGCGACATCTCAGAATGACACCGGTCAGCGTACGCGGGCGACGGCTCGGACAAGCACCGAGCCAAACAAGAGAAGAGTGACGACACGCGTCATTGGTGCCGCGGATGCGGAGGCCCGTTCGGTATGTGAATTGTCTTTTTGAATCCTCAGTCTGGTATTGATAGCATACCGCCGTTAGCGTACGCCCCACATGACAGCCGACACAACGACGCAACGGGTATGAGTCGGGGACACCATGTATATGGTACGTCCCTTTACTTCCATTGGATGCGCGTTTGGCGTTGGGTGGGGCTTTCCCTCGCTGTTCCCCCTCTTGCATTCTTTCATTCCTTCCTCCCTGTCTTACGCTCCTCACAGGAAATGAGACCGACTTCCGTGAAGCGACTGGGCGTGCACGCGGCGTTCGCTGGAGTAGGGGCGAGGTACGTGCTTTTGTCCTTTTCACTGTCCGTTTTCTGCGCCGTGGTAGGTGTGAGTCTGCGCCCGTTGACTCGCGCGCGGCTTCTCGAGAGCAAGGGCCGCGCTGTGTTTCGAGAGCGGGGAGGTGGGAGAAGCGGGACGTCATCAGCGAGCTCCTCTCTCCCTCGCTCCCTTTCTTTGTTCTTTTCAGTTGCCGGTCTACCCTTGGGTCTTACTCCGCTACCAAAAGCTCTTTCTCCTCATCCCCTCTCCCTTGAGCCTTTGCATCTGCCATACTGACGCGTCCCGCAGATCACGATACCGACTTCCCTCCAACGACTCGGCGTGCGCGCGGCTTGAAGGTGTGGTACGGAGAGTGATGCAGCGGAGGTGCGTTCTTTTACTCCTTGTCCTTTTCTTTTTGGTCCGAATTCTTCGTGAATGGCTTGCTGACTCGGGTCTTTACAGCGCGGCGCTCAAAGAAACGATCTCCTAAATGGATGTAGCATACTAGTCTCCATTGAATCACCTTGGGTGCGTGCTTCTCTCCCTTCCTCTTTGTATTCTCTCTTCACTTCTCCTCTGCCTCCCGTTCCCCAAGAGGCAGCCACCGGAAGATGCCGAGGCACAGCCTCATCCAGACAAATGAGTGTGCCAGGTGAATTTTCAATTAGGACTGGTGAAATAACTGCGAAGACTACTTCGCAATCGGGGACTGGCATATTCGTACCATTTCTTGGACATCATATTCTAAGCTGACGCCCGACTAGCAACTGCAGACATTCTCGACGAAAAGCGCCTATTTATTGTGCGTTTAGCTCTCCACACATCGTGTGATGTGAGTTAAGTCGAGGGTAGCCCCAGTGACAGTAAGCTATAATTGAGGTGGTCAATACACTCAGCGAGTCGGTCTGCGACATCTGACGGGCTCGGCGCGTGAATCATTCAACTGCAAATTAAATGGTACAGAAGAGGAGCACCGAAGAACAGAGTTATGCTGTAGGTTGCACGCTTGTGGAGTGGCCAATGCAGACTTAATCTTGAATAAGGCGAATCCAACAGTAGTGGGAACGGAAGATAGATCTCGCGCGAATGAGTTCTTGTGTTGTTCCAGCTGACAGGTATTGCGGACGGAAATCAATGAATTGGCAGAACATTGTGATACAGTAGGTAGATTTAAATTCCCTCTGGAATGTGAGTACAGACAGTGCAAGGCTGCGTGAGCACATTTTCGAATGTCGGTAAATTACGACGTCCGTCCATGGCCAGATTGAAGGAAGTCGAAGAGGCGAAATACGGGCAACACATACGCCGATGCCGGCGAAATAAAACGTGTGCAGAAACCTTGGAAATAAAACCGAGATCCAATCTCACCGGGAAAATCCTGCTTCAAGATGGTTCGGGGTGTTGCGAGCACGGAGACAGCACGGTAACCGATAAATTTAACGTGGAGAAGCAGAGATTGGTACAGGAACACGGTTTAAGATGGACCCCCACACGGGACAACGGAGAAAAGAGATGAATCACCGTGGTTAACAGCGTCGCAGGATGATTCCGGGTGGCGAGCGCGGAAAACGGGTGAATGGAGACCACGAGAGGCGCTCGAAGAACAAATTTACAGAACCTGTATTGACGAGGTGAGTATGGCTGAATAGGTGGCCAAGCGAAATGAGTTGGTGATCGCATACGGATGCGACAGAACATGCTCGGGGAGCTGACGTGCGAAGCGATGGGCCAAAATGAAAGGGAGATACGCACCCGAGAATGGAATGCGGTCGGGTGACAGCGAAAGCGCGAGGAGGCGCACGCGAGGGTTAGGAGCGGTAGCACGGGCATCGGAAGCGCGAGCGAGCGTGGGCTGGCGACAGTCCCGATTACAAGTGGCGCAGGCGCACCAACGCAGGAAGCGCATGCCATCGACGGCGTCGGTGAGTTCCTGCATTTCCGGCGCATAGGCCCGAAGCCGAGCGGCCCAGGTCCAGCGACGCAGCCTGCGGAGATACTGGGCAGGCTAATCATTCAGCAGCGGCAAGGCCATGATGGTGCAGCGTTGGCTCGCCCACGCGATGCGGAGCACCGCGCGCAGGATGCGTGGGCGTGCAGCGGACAAGGGGGTGCTTGGGAACTGCGTGCGCTCACAAGGAAGGCGCATTCACCCTGAGACGTTTCTGGGGCAATATTGAGGCGTAGCCGCACAGGAGGACGGCGCGCACGATATGATGGCCAGTCCGAAGTCGTGTATTCGGTGCTGGCATCAGTCTGCGAAGGTGGAACGGACTGCTCGCGGCGGCACCAGGGGACGGTGTGCGTGGGAGGCTCGCGCTGGGTCGGCGTCGGCGAGCGGCAGGAAGATATTGACGCATCGTTGGAGGCGCGGTCCGAGCGCGGTCGTAGAATAAGCTCGAATTTGGTACAGCACACTAGGAGGATAGAAATGAGTATGGGGAGTGGACGGAATCCAGGTCTAAAGTCAAGGGACACCACGCACCTCGTTCGAGTACTGTACAGCAGCACCACCAGATATCCGCCGGATACACTCCCTGCACGACAAACCTCGGCGCAGAGGACGAAGCGCGGGTGCAAGAAATACGGCGCGGGTGGCAGTGGTGCGTCCTTCAGCATCTGGCAGGCCAGTCCTGGAGCTGTGTGGCGCGGGGGCGAGCGCTTCAGAATCGGCGTCGAGACGGAGGGCAGGGGACGGACGCGCATGGCGTTGAGATAGAGATATAAACAGCTTCGATCGAAGCGGCGGGCGGCGTGCGAGGAGCGCGCCGAGATCGAAGCGCGAATCGGGAATAAGGTAAGGACCAAGGAGGGCATCGCCTCCGTATGGTGGCGGGCGCAGCGCTCAGCAGCGGGCATCCATCTGCGTCCGACACCGTTCACGTCGAGGTCGAGATATATAATAATCTGAGATAGGCGGTGCCGACGTCAAAAGCGAAATGAAGGGAGGGGGACATGGAGGGATCGACGTGGTTGGGTGCAGCATGCGACTCCACGGCCTGCGAGCCCACACAGCGCAGCGCAGGAGATATGTACGGCGCTCAGGCGAAGGAAGCGGGGCTGGCAGCGCATCCGACATCTGCGTCCGAAACCCACTGATTGCCCGGCGCGATTGTGTCGTCGGCGCGTGGTCTAGACCACGATTAACGCAGCGCCATGAATTGCGTTTTGGATTGAGTGTTGGCGCGTAGGGAATGGTGTGAGTCAGAACAACGGCATCACAGCCACTTGATTGACAGCGGCCTCGCGCAAGAAGGGCTCGGGAAAAGGCGACTACAGTGTGCAGCGCCACCTCTCCGACACCTGTCAAAGTATGCCGAGAATTTTTTTTAGCTTACGTGACTACGTACGTTGCGCACACCATCTGCACCTCATGGCGCGCTGGACAACACATCTTGCTCGGCGCTCATTCTCGATGCTTACTGCTCAGCCCAATCAGCTTCCGTCAGCGCACCGGGCCCCCGCGCCAATTGACGTCCCTCAAATTCCATGTTTTGATCCTGGAATATCGATCGCGAAGCTGCTTAGATTTTATCTACGTCGTCTCAGAGTCTCGATTTGCAGTGTCCAGCCCTCTACGTAGTAGCTTACAGGTATTATTATGCCTCTCCGAACCCACTGCCTCGTGCATCACAATTAACTCCGATGTCGAATTGCCGAGCGCGAAATGAAAACGCCAGTGTCAGACAGCTATACAGCATCTTAACTTCGATGCCAAATTGGCGAGCGCAAATGAAAACGCCGCCGTCAGAGAGCCGTACCGCTGTGTGGGTAAAGCAAAGCCT